ATTCGGACACCAGAAGTGTTCTGGAGGGTACCGGGTACATATCGGGTCACCGGAAAGGAGTTTCGGGCAACCCCGGCAAAGATATGGGCTTAATGGGCCGAGGGAGGGACAGAACAGCCCACAAGGGACTGGTGCACCCCTTTACCTGGCCGCAGGCCCTAGAGGAAGGAAAGGAGGGGGCGCCACCTCTTCCTGCTTTTCCCCCTTCGTGGGAGAAAGGAAAAGGGGGGGGCGCCACCTGCTCCTTCCTTCCCCTCATCGCCAAAAGAAGGAAAGGGGGGGCGCCAGCCTAGGACAGGAGCCCAAGTAGGATGTGTTGGGGAACGCGGTAATTTCAAAAAAAATCCTACGATCAGCAAGATCTATCTAGGTGATGCATAGCAATGAGAGGGGAGAGTGTGTCCACATACCCTCGTAGATCGAAAGCGGAAGCGTTTCAATAATGCGGTTGATGTAGTCGAACTTCTTCGCAATCTAACCGATCCAAGTATCGAATGTACGGCACCTCCGCGTTCAGCACATGTTCAGCTCAATGACGTCCCTCGTGCTCTTGATCCAGTTGAGGACGAGGGTGAGTTCCGTCAGCACGACGGCCTGGCAACAGTGATGATGATGTTACCGGCGCAGGGCTTCGCCTAAGCACTACGATGGTATGATCGAGGTGTGTAATTGTGGAGGGGGGCACCGCACACGGTTAAGAGAAACTTGTGTGTCCTAGGGTGCCCCCCCCCCCGCCCCGTATATAAAGGAGGGAGGGGGCCGGTCGACCTTAGGGGCGCGCCCAAAGAGGAGGAGTCCTACTAGGACTTCCTAGTCCTAGTAGGATTCCACTTCAAGGAAGAGGGGGAAGGAAAGGAGAGGGAGAGGGAGTAGGAAAGGGGGGCGCCCCCCCCCCCTTCCCTTGTCCAATTCGGACTCCAAGGGAGGGGCGCACGGCCTGCCCTGGATGCCCTCCTCTCTCTCCACTAAGGCCCATGGTGGCCCATTAGTTCCCTGGGGGGGTTCTGGTAACCCCTCCGGCACTCCAGTTTTACCCGAAACTTCCCGGAACACTTCCGTGTCCGAATAACATGGTCCAATATATCAACCTTTATGTCTCAGCCATTTCGAGACTCCTCGTCACGTCTGTGATCTCATCCGGGACTCCAAACAAACTTTGGTCATCAAAAACACATAACTCATAATACATATCATCATCAAACGTTAAGCGTGCGGACCCTACGGGTTCGAGAACTATGTAGACATGACCGTGACACATCTCCGGTCAATAACCAATAGCGGAACTTGGATGCTCATATTGGCTCCTACATATTCTACGAAGATCTTTATTGGTCAAACCGCATAACAACATACGTTGTTCCCTTTGTCATCGGTATGTTTCTTGCCCGAGATTCGATCGTCGGTATCATCATACCTAGTTCAATCTTGTTACCGGCAGGTCTCTTTACTCGTTCAGTAATACTTCATCCCGCAACTAACTCATTAGTCACAATGCTTGCAAGGCTTATAGTGATGAGTATTATCGAGAGGGCCTGGAGATACCTCTCTGAAACACGGAGTGACAAATCCTAATCTCGATCTATGCCAACCCAACAAACACCTTCGGAGACACCTGTAGAGCATCTTTATAATCAGCAATTTACGTTGTGACGTTTAATAGTACACAAGGTGTTCCTCCGGTATTCGAGAGTTGCATAATCTCATAGTCTGAGGAACATGTATAAGTCATGAAGAAAGCAGTAGCAATGAAACTTTAACAATCATAATGCTAAGCTAACGGATGGGTCATGTCCATCACATCATTCTCCTAATGATGTGATCTCGTTTATCAAATGACAACACATGTCTATGGTTAGGAAACATAACCATCTTTTATTAACGAGCTAGTCAAGTAGAGGCATACTAGGGACACTATGTTTTGTCTATGTATTCACACATGTACTAAGTTTCCAGTTAATACAATTCTAGCATGAATAATAAACATTTATCATGAAATAAGGAAATAAATAATAAATTTATTATTGCCTCTAGGGCATATTTCCTTCAGGTTCATGCCTTTGATGGCGGTCCAGACCTCCTCCTCACTGAAGGGGGGCCGTTAGGGCAGCATTGGCCGCAGCCGAGACGCAGAATCTGT